TCCATGGTCATTGAACACATGTGGTGCATGGTTTACATACAGGTAAAACACCACCCTACACACACACACACACACACACACACACACACACACACACACACAGCCAAAGCAGAAACAGCCAAGTGAAATTACATCAAAAAATTAAAGTTTGTGCATCAACTGACATGGAATTAACTTGTGTCAACCAAGAGACATGGATAAAGAGATAAGAATAATTTTTAAATTAAAGAATGAAGTCTGGTGGTGGTGGTGGTGCATGCCTTTAATAGGGAGGCAGAGGCAGGTGGATCTCTGTGAGTTTGAGGCCAACCTGGTCTACAGAGGGAGTTCTAGGACAGTCAAGACTACACAAAGAAACTCTGTCTCAAAAAACAAACAAAATATTAAAAATTGACTAAAGAAGATGTGGTGTGTGTGCGTGTAAGAGTTTGTGCATGCAGGATACAATCAGCAGAGTGAAAGGCGATGTACAGAGTGAAGGAAATATGTACGAATCTAGCTGATAAAGGGTTAATACCTAGAATTTATGAAGAATTCCTCCCAATAACAACTTAAACAACTTAATTAGAACATGGCAAAGGTTTGCATAGCTTTCTAAAGATCATACACAAATAGACAACATGCCTATGAAAAGATCATTAGTCATTACAGAAACATAAATAGAAGCTCCCCTGAGACACCAACACATCCATTAGGGTGACTATTATCAACAGTGACTTCCAGAAAATAAACTTCGATAAGGATGTGGAGACATGACTGGAAGCAGAAATTGAATATGTATATACATGCACATGTATATATATAATGGAATGTCACTCAGCTTGAAGGAGGAAGAGAGTCGTGCCACATTCTACAGCATAGAGAAACCTTGAGGACGTTTTGCTAAGTGAAATGTACTGTTCACAAGAGACTTCAACTTCAGGTAGAGGAGTGGTTAAAATCAGAGAGAAAGTAGAAAGGTTGTCACCAGGCGCTGGGGAGAGGGGCTGGGGAGTTGTTTAGTGGGTAGAGTTTCTGTTTTGCAAGATCAGTTGCCTAACAGTGTGTGTACACTTAACACCCCTACAGAGCTGCAAATGGAGAAATGAGTTGGTGAAAACCTGTCTGCAAAGAGACACCAAGGACACAGGGAAATTGAAAGACAAGGAAGCAGGAACTTGCTGGCTGTTGAAAATGAGGGGAAGGGATAATTGAGAGGATTGCCAGGCCAGACACGAGGCTGGGTCCTGATTGTGTAATCTTGTATGGCCTTGTTCTGTGAAAGCTGATGGGTTGATACCCAGAGAGCTTTAATGTGGGGGATGATCTTCCTGTGAAGCTGCCGGGAAGTCCTCATCTATCTGACTTTTCAAGTTCATCACCAGAACCTTCCTAATTAAAGCCATGTCCCAAACCATGCCCCCATCCCCCATCCTGGAGAGGGTCCCAGGGGCAGGCTGGCTGGTTCCCCTTCCGGACCAACATGCCTCGAGAGCATGGAGACCTCTGGGAAGCTTAAGAGGCAGGTTCCCAGGCCAAGTACAGCTCAGGTCCCAAGAGATGTCCCAAGGTTGAGGGACATGGCTCTCACACATAAGCATGCATGACTCAGAAACAGAATTCCCTTGGGATCGTTCCAGAGTCTCCCAGATTCAGGGAACGGACTGCACTTTCAGACCTGATGTCTCTTTCTCCCAAAGCCAAGTCAGTGAGCTCCATGTGCTTCTGTAAGGGTCAAGAACTAGATCTCCAGAGTCCTAGGACTCAAGTCTCAGGCCAGGCCTCCTTGTGCCAGACCTTTGCATAGGCTTCCACTCTCCACAGCTCTTTAATTTGGGTGTCATCAAAGCCCCTGAGGTATGGTAGAAGGCTAGATGCATTCCAGGCCCTGATACCATCCCATACCCAGAAGCTGTCTACACAGGCTCTCAGTGAGGTCAAGTTATAATTCTCACTTTACCAACATTCTTCAGTGTGGTTCCCACTGACCCTGCCCCTTTTCCCTTGCCCAGCTTGGAAGCCCACCAGAACTTGTCATCCTAACCCAAACTCACTGTTGACCCTCACCACCCCAATTCCTTCCTCCTGGTCTCTGCCTAATCAGCTGCTATGCATTCTTTAGCATCGAGTGTTCCTAAAGACCCAGAGGACAGGCTCACTGTCTCCACTTTCTACATACAAGCTATATGCCTATTCCAAAAGCAGAAGAGCCCCTACCTATCTTGGGTTCCCAACACTGTGACCAGCTACCCTCATAAATTTGTTGACTGAGAAAATGAATGCAGTTTTCTACCTGTCTCTCTGTTGTTTATTTTGGTACCTGCCCCAAAGAATTGATGATGAAAGGCTAACTAGCAGGTGTTTACTTGTGTTGGCTCATACCAACCATGCACAGGTGTTCATATTTCTCTGTCACAGATAAGGTGCCTGAGTATGTGTAGTGGTGGCCCATGGTCACCCAGATGTAACAAGGGGTGCAAACAGAAATGGGATGCATCCAAGGTTCACTATACTGCACCACACGTGTACCCTTGCAATGCACCATAGCAGCAGCTGCAGTGTGGGGACCAGAAGAGGCACCTACAGACATCCTGGGATTTCTCACTGCTCTGAGATCTCTTAGGCTTATGTTGTGGAAGTGGTTGAGATGGTGCAGTGTTTTGAATGAGCTGTCTGTCTGTCCACCATAAATCTTGGGCATTTGAATTCTTGATCCTCAGTTGGTGAGAATATTAGGGAAGATTAGGAGGAGTGGTTTAAGTGGAAGAAGTCTGTCACTCGGGGTGGGCTCTAAAGTTTCTAGTTAGTGAGTTCTCTGTCTCCTGTTCATGGATCTAGATGTGAGCTCTCAGCTGCTTCTCAAGCTGCCCGCCACCATCCCTTTGTCCCACCATTATAAATTCAAATACCCCAGAAACATAAGCCCAGTTAAATTCACTTATACATTGCTTTGGGAGCCAGGCACTGTTGGCACATGCCTTTAATCCCAGCACTCAGGAGGCAGAGGCAGGAGGATCTCTGTGAGTTCAAGGCCAGCCTGGTCTACAGAGCTAGTTCCAGGACAGGCTCCAAAGCTACACAGGGAAACCCTGTCTTGAAAAAATAAATACAAAAAAACAAAACCAGACAAACAAACAAAAATTTGCTTTGGTCATGGTATTTTACACAGCAATAGGAAAGTAACTAATATAGAAGTGAAGAATGGCATCTGTGATCTGAAGCGGAAGAGGCAGCCAGGGGTCATCCAAAGGAGGTTTGACCCTGACAACCAATTTTCTGACCTTAGCACAGACACAGTTAAAAAAAAAAAAGCCTTTGTCATTCACCAAGCCTTTACTCAGAGGGCTGGGAAGACCATGCCCTCCCAGACCTTCTCATTCTAGTCAGGTTGGTAATGGCCCAGGGACAGTCCCAGGCTGGAAGAGCCCTTGGATGCCTTTGGATGTTTCTGGAGAATGAGATATGCCAGATGTGCCATGTATGCTACCTCTGTCTCCTAATACCCCCAAGAAACTTTCTAATCTCCATTTTACATTCAAATCAAGGTACAACATTATTAGGTGAGAATTCAAGATCAGCCAGAATACAAACCAAGCTAGTAAACACTGTGACATTGCTCCCAATTCATTTCTGAAAAATCCCCTGAGAGCAAAAGTCCCCACTCACCCCATCATAGTATCAAGGGACCAGAAATGAGTAACTATGTCCTGTAATTCCTGTGAAGGAGCTAAGCCATGCGCATGTGAACAGCACCACAAAAATGTCCTCGGCCTTTGCCCCAAGTATTCATTGTGGGTGGAGAATAGGCTCTGGGGAGAGGGGAAAAAGAACAGTGATGCTAAAAAGGCCAAAAGAAGTTATTTCCACAGTCTCCCATGGAAGTTGAGTTACTAGTTGCAAAAACATCTAGAAACAATTGAACTTCACAGGGAACAAAGGCACTGTGGGATGTTTGTTAATGTAACAAATAACCACATAGATCTTTAAAATGATGGTAATGCCAGGCATAGAGGCAGGAGCAGGCGGGGTTTGAAGCTAGCCTGATCTATATAGTGAGTTCTTGGCAGCCAGGGCTGCACAGTAAGAAGACTCCATCTAATTTTTTTTTAAAGTGGGCAAAATGTGAAGATAGAACACTTTGCTATAATTGTACAAACACTGGCTCACCTATGCCATTTTTCTATGTGTGTTGCAATGTGGAGGTCAGAGAACCACTTATGTGTCATTCCTTAGTCACTGCCCACCTTTCTTTGAGACAGGGTCTCCCACTGATCTGGAACTAGCAAAGCAGGCTAGACTGCCCAGCCAGCAAGCCCCAAGGATCCACCTGTCCCGACCTCCTAGCACTAGGATTACAAACATGTCACCATGCCCAATGTTTCTTCACACAGGTTCTAGGGAAAGAATCCAGGTCTTCAAGGCTTTTACTGAGGTCTCCCCCTGTTCCCTGTTTTCCTTTCTTTTAAAGGTTTTTTTTTTTTTTTTTTTTTTTTTTTTTTTTTTTTTTTGAGGCTGGTCTTGAACTTGCTAAGTAATCAAGGATGACTAATTCTCCCCCCTCCACCTCCCACACGCTGGAATTACAGGTGTGCGCCACCATGCCAGCTAGCCTCAATTAATTTTTTACTAGGAGGTTCATACAAGTAATAATTCATGCACACAGCACATTAAGGTGTACAGACCTAAGGCAATCTGCAATTCCCAGGAAGCCAAAACCAATTCAGAATGTGGGTTTGTCCACTGACAAAACTCAGATGGGAACACAGGGAGGTTAATTTGATAGTTATATGGCTGTTTTTCTCCAGCAAGGTTGTTAAAGCAAAGGTTAAAAACTGAAACCCCGTAGCATATAGCTCACACCATTTCAGAACTTTTTAGCCAGCACCCTTTGTGTCAACTCTAGCTCAAGTCCCTCTGGCTTGAAGGAGAGTGAAGCATCAGTTAAATTGGTGAGGGAAAGGCATCCATCAGGGACTATGAGAGAGCAGCCACGTGAAAGCAAGCCTCAGAGTGCTATTTACCTTCTCGCTGCTGGGATGTGGGCTTCTACGGATTGCTGGAAACTTTAAGCTGCTCAGGGCCTGGAGCAGGTGCCTTGGAGCTGTGGCAGTAAATGTCATGTGGGAGAGGCTGTGATGGCCCCTCAGCCTACAATCCAGTCTTCCCGTCAGAGGGTGGGGAATACAAGCTATAGCAGCTCAGACTTGATTCTAGAACGGGAGCCAGCAAGGGTTGGGTGGGGCGGGGCCATGTGGGCCCAGCCTGTCTTGGAGTGTGGAGTGGGAGGGAGCCTCAAACACAGCCAAGGCGAGGGGACAGCCTTGAGGGTGAGCTGGGGGTGTCTTTAGAATCCAAGCCTTATTTTCTGTGTACATTGGACTGGTCTTTAGGGACAATTCCGGGCCATCTCCAGAGCCCCTGGATTCAGGAAAGTCTATCTCATAAAACAACACAGCTGAGGGTGGCTAGGCAAGTGTGTTGGGGTCTCAACTGCTGATGACCCAGTCAACCCATTCACAGACAGGGGCCTGAGCTCAGGAAGGTGTTCACGAATCCACAGCTGGTTACTGAGTCTAACCACAGAGCCTGAGCCAGCCCTATGGAAACTTCTGGAGTCTAAGCCATACCTGCAGACAGCCACTTTTGCTTACCTGGTGATGGTGACTAGGCTGACTGGCTCTATGCAGTAGGGACAGCACCAGTGTCTATCAAGTTTTTACAGCAATTTTTTTCTTTTTTTAAAATAGGATCTCTATGTAGCCCAGGCTAGTTTCAAGCCTGCTGTGTAACTCAAACTGACTAGAGCTTTGCGTTGGAGTGCTGATTATAGGCGTGTGCCACACTTTCCTAATTTTAAGACTGTATTTGGAATAGTTAGGGATGGTTACCCCAAAGGATCCTTCAGTTTCTCCACCACTAGGCACCACAATGGTGGTGGTGTATTGGAAGTATCGAGTTATCAACATGAACACAGGATCTCTCAGTAAGGGCCAATCAATTAACAAGACTCCACAAAGCTTAGTCTGGGAATGTTGGCCCGGTCACAAGGGTTTGCCCTATTCTAAATGCTAATGAGTGGTGTTGTTCAAGAAATGCTTTCTTAATTAGATTGAGAAAACTGGATTCCCTGAACTTGCAGCAGGACAATATGGCCACACTGGAATGTGCCCAGCTAATTCCCCACCCCCACACCCCCTCACAGTAGCTACTCTGACCACACCAAGCAGGCCCTGGACCAAAACTCTGCCAAGGCATTGTCAGGCAGAGGAGGTAGAGATGAGGCCACAGCCTGGCATGTCCTCTAAGTGTCTTATTTCTAGGCTGGTAGTTCAGGATGGAGATGGTATCAGGTCTTCCAGAGCTAGGACCACTCTCAGGAAGTCAGTACTTGTTACCACAGCCACATTCAAGTTAGTGGATTCCATTACCCAGCACTTTCTCATGGATTTGCCACCTGGCCTCTAGCAGATGTTTCTCAAGGCTCTGTGGGTAAAGCTGGATTTCTCTAGTTCCAGCATCAGCTCCTTAAGCACAAGAGTCCCATGTGTCTCTGACAGTTACCAGTCCCTGAAGCCTAGAGCAAATACAGTACTTGTCTTTATTCCCATTTCTGGATACACACATTACTGTGGACTTTCAAAAGGAGCCTATGAAATTCTTCCCAGACCTTATCAAAAGCAACTCTTGGGCTGATAAGACGGTTCCACCAGTAGAGGTACCTGCTGCCAAGCTTGACAACCTAAGTTTGATCCAAAGGTCCCACTTGATAAAGAGAACTGACTCCTACCAGTTGTCCCCTGAATGTAAACATCTAAACATATTATGCATTATGTCTATGTGTCCACAAAATAAAATGTAAAAACAAAAATCAACAATAAAACCTCTTATTCTAACATTTTTTCTTTTAGAAGGGCCAAGGTCTGCCAGGTGAGTTTGTGGTTTGCAAATATGAGGCCAGAAGCCGATGCTGGCTACCTCTGGATTCTGATTGTACAATGGAGCTGAACTGAAGACAGCCCTTCAGCAACTTCTATGTGAACGATCATCTGCCTCTTCTAAAACTAGAACTTCCTAATTCAACAGTGTTTGCTGTGTTACTTTGAACAAGCACCAATCACAGCTAGTGAGGTCTAGGTCTGATCACTTACGAGTAGATACAGACAAGTCCTATATCCGAATGGGTAAGTCACGATGACAGGTTTCTTTCTTATTGGCTGGCTGCCTGTCCTGCCTTAGATTTTAGATGCAGGACTGGCTGGTTTCTCCTACAAGTTCCGAAGTTGTGCCTCTTTAACCCAAGGAAATGAGATGTGGCCCTTAAGTTCTAAGACTCAAATGTCACACGCTTCATCACTCTGCTCACTGTCCTCAGTGGGAGACTGTCGGGTCACTCTCCTCCAGTCTGGGGATAGAACAGACCCAGGACAGAGCTGGTACCCATTGCTCTTTCAGTGGCCAACATTTCCAGTGCTGGCTTTTCAAGAAACAGCTCTGGCTTATGTTGGCTCAAACTGACACCCAGTTAATACTGGTGCTTTAGTTCACTAGGACTCCAGTCCCCAAATAAAGAACAACAGCCAAGCTTAAGTGTTCACTCTCTACCATGAGCCCCACACTAGCTATCTGCTCTCCAACAGTATTTTTTGGACAAGCTTTCAAGAGACTAATTTTAAACATGCATAAACTTAAAACATGCACATGTACAGTATTTCATATGTAAATGAACAAGTGGATGACTCATGCAAACATGGCATTTCTACTTTGAACAGAAAACAGAATTAAGGAATTAACAGATCCTGAAAGCTGGGTAGATGAAAAAAGCACCCCAGCATTCCCCACCCTCAAGAAAGGCTGGGAGCGGTGAGCACACAGCATCCTGGACACCCTCCCTCTCCCTGTGAGGCAGGGAATCAGGAGTACATTCCCTGCTCTAGCAGCTGTCCTACAAGCAATACATTTACACAAACCAAAAACAGCAACATTCCAGGCACAGTCCAACTTGAACCCCCTCCCCACAGGAATGTTATTCTTGGCAAGAGATCTTCCAAAGGAAGCAACATCTGCAAAGCCCCTGCCCTGTGAGGTCAGGGGAAAGCCAAAGCAGCTGAACAGCTTTGTGGCCGCTCTTAGATCCAAGTAGCAGGGGATTTACAGAGAGTAGGAGTAAAACTACAGGACCCCAACATCCTATGCCAGGTCTAAGGAGGCTTACTTAGGTAGTTTCCTATTTACCTACATGCTACTCATCTACTGAATCATGGTGGTACCCTCAAACAAATAATCCAGACTCAACTATTTGCTACAAATTCAAAAGTTGTTTTTTTTTTTTTTGGTTTTTATAAACAGCGGTGTTCTGTTTTTTGAGACAGGGTTTCTGTGTAGCCCTGGCCATCCTCAAACTCCGGGATTCACCTGCCTCTGCCTTCCAAGTGCTGTGATTAAAGGTGCGCACCACTACAGCTCCACAAAACTGATGTTTCTAATGCCTGGCCCAGGATGGTATCAGGAATCCACTCTATACTACAAAGTTGGGGACTGGATCATGCCTGCCAAGTGTAACACTTGAAGGGCAGAAGCAAGCCAGCCTGAGTCCAATGAATTATGAGCCAGTTGGCACTAGAGACCCTATTTCAGAAAATATATGTGCAATCACACCCAGTCATGGCTCTTAACAGGTGAGAGATGCAAAAAGTTTAGTCAATTTAGGTGGCTAAGTGGAGAAATTCAACTTTTACTATTTTATCATGCACTGAGACCAGCAGCAAGTCTGGGTATCTCCAGGTTCAACATGCTGAAGAGCTGCTTTATATATTAGGAATTCTCATACAGCCGGCCGGTAAATTGATTTTGGCTTCAACAGTTCTGAAACTAGGTCACTTCTGGCCAAAAGGATGGCAGTAGGTAATCCTTCCATACATACCCACACCTCAAGGCCAATGTGCGACCAGGCCAAGATGTGTATTGCAGGTATGTTCCCTTCCAGGACATCCATGTGTCTCTATGCAGGGCCCACATGACTATCCCCAAGGGCAGGTTATGTGAGTACATCTGTGTAAGTGACTACTAAGCATCAGACTCAAAATTTCAGGAGCCACTTAAGCACTGTGAAATCAGACTCATCTAGGAAGTGCCAAATTTAATGTTTTAAGACCTCAGAGTAGCAAAGATCTGAGGGAAAGGACAATACCTCTTTTCAATATTCAAGAGGAAGAGGGGTTATGTTCACATGGTTGGTGAGCTCGTTTTATCTTCACAGCAAAGAACCAAGACAGGCTTAAGAAATCACCAAAATCAAGACGTCCACATAGGTACCTAGAAGTAATACCTAGTTATTGTTTGGACTTACTTTTCTCCTGAATTTTCATTCCCAGAAAAACACACACCGAGGCTGGCCACCTTAAAAACTAGTTTTATATATTGAGGAGGGTTCAGAGGGTAGAACTGAGCCACAATGCAACCAGCCTGGCTGCACCTTAGCTTGCCTCCCTCCATCTCACAAAACAACATTGTATAAAACTGTATTTACAGGAAAACAATGAAATTAAGTGTGTACAAAAGTAGACAAGAGCCAGAATGTAGGGATGGCTTTGGGAATAGGGAACACTGTGTCCCACACTGAGGCACAGGGCCACACATTATGTTTGAAGAGCAGACCTCAGTGCCAACTGTAGGGAGAACCAGTGTTCCAAAGGAAGAGTTAAGGGTGCAGAGCTATCGGCTTTATCGTTTCAGTCTTAATTACCACATCACTTTTCTCCTGCCATGTGGCAGAAGCCAGAGGGTAGTGATGGGAACAAACAAGGGACTGTCTGGCAAGCCCCCAGATAAATGGGCTCAGAAAGCGTAACGGGTCCGAATATCCTCAAGCTTCTTGGACACTTCAGGTGGGGTTCGGTCCAGTTCTTCAGAGACATTCTTCTGCTTGTTGGGCTCCATGGAGTTGAACTGCTCACAAAGATCTCCATCAATCACATTCTAAGACATGGAAAAATCAGAGGAAGACAAAGTTAAGACATCCAAAGAAAAAAGAACTTACTATGAAAACATTCAAGTACCCCTTCCCCAGACATCTTTCAGACTGGCAAAACCTGGTGCATCATTGTCTCTGGCTATTAAGTGTCTGCCTTCTAGGAAGGAGTATCATCAACCATATGCCATTCACCAACCCATTCCTCCATTAAGAGCTGG